TTTATAGGTAGGCAATGCCTTTTCGCCTATATGGACTGCACGCCACTGTGTGCCAGGTGTCCATGGGCGACGCCGATTGTTTACCATCAGGTGATCCGTCTGCTCGTTTACCGGCTTATGCCATAAAAAAACGAGCAAACGGCTGGTCTCCTAATCTACCTAATGGTAAGCGTCACACGAAAGGTCAGAAGACTCACAATTGCGTTGCCAGCCTTTTTGAGAATCCTCACTGTTTTTTGAAGGTATGGAAATACCCCGGACAACATTTCATTCCACAGTTTTGCTGTATAAATATGTCGTGTCAGTGAGGCTTATTTCAATACTAGCTTTTACCCGCGGCTTCGCTCCCGTCACAAAAGGATAAAAAGTAGCCTATGTGACATATACCAATACACACAGCTCCATCTATACCAATAATTTCGTTTTCCCTCGAGAATATTATTTAATCCAGACTTCTAACTTCACATCTGCAAAAATTCAAAGCAATGGGTTTAGTAGTTACGGCTTGAAAGTGGAACAAACAAACTCACTTTCTGATTTATAATATTAATAATAAGGATAAATTAATCAGACATTTTAACGCCATGTCTATTGCGGGGCGCAATTTCACTATGGAACACGAACTATCCAATTTCCAAATTCAACATCTGAATATGCAACTGTTTGATTTACTCTGCTGTATTCAATCAATGCGTTTATATACTGTACCATGTACCTATGCACATAAGGGACTATACAGACAGCAGGGGGACGTCAAATTGTGTAATTGAAAAGCGACCACCGCGTCGCGTCGCATCGATCGTATATACAGGTCGTGTTAAAAGCTTTGGCTGATTTCAAAATAGATTTTTGACAAATTGGTGTTTTGTTGAGAGTCAGAAAGAATGAGAACATTGAGGAGTTGTAATCTTCGAGAATGTCATCTTTCGCCTTGGGTGAGCTAAGAGGGACTACCATACTCTTACTAACTAGAAACTACCCCGTTCCTACCCCTGCATCAAGCCGGATCCCCGGTAACCCGTTAAGTTCTCCGCAGCTCCTTAAAAGTAAAGATTTCGGTATTAATTAAATCGCGGGTTACTCACGTTAGCTCAGTGAGCTGCGCGACGTCGCCGCGACCCCGCACGCTGCTCATGAGGATGAACCCCTGTGTGGTTCGAAACTAGTAGAGCTTTTCTCAGTATATTAACGTGAGTAACCCGTAATTTTAATTGATTTCGGTATTGACATGCAATAAGAGGAAATTAAAGATCAGAGTGTCTACTTGTACAGATAATCACAAGTTCACTACTGAACAAGGGGACTTCATTTTTATTTCTCGTCGCGAAAAATTGTAATGTTAAATTTAAATTATAAAAAAAATAGTCGGTAACAGCATACACAAAGAAAGAAAGAACATTTATTCAGTACCAGACACGATTGAAACTGAAATAAAGTAAAGAATACATAGCATAGATTCTGGGTAATGCACGGTAAGTGGTAAAAGGCTTGCCCATATAATAACTTAAGACTATCTTTTCAATAGAGAACAGTATGATTATAACGATTAACGTAATTTATTATACACTAGCAGCCCGTCCCGGCTTCGCACGGGGTAGACAATTATTTATTTTTTGAAATTTGGATTGTTGTAGTGACATAACTACAATAGTTGGACATATGCTACCGCGGAGTTTTTTGTAGACATTATGATGTTCTTCAATATTGTTGTACGTTATTTTGTTCTATCGCTAATAGTTTCGGCAGCGCATTCGACGAAAGACATTTTAAGACTCATTTTTCTACACCTTCGGTTACATCGTTCACATTTTACCAAGGATCTCTAATTTTTTTTCAAAATAAAATGTAGCCTATGTCAAATTGCAAGAATGTAGCATTCTATTGGTGAAATATTTTTTTAAATCGGCCCATTACTTTTTGAGCCTATTCATTACAAACATACAAAATTAGGCACAAATCTTTCCTCTTTATAATATTAGTATAGAAATGACTTTCGCATTATTTTACCGCTTAAAAAGGAGGATTTTTACTGCACCTCTATTTAAAAATGTAAGCAAACCAAATTTCTCCACTAATACTCTACGGCCTACTGCATATCAAAAAAATGAACCGTAAAACAAAAATACTGATTTGCACACAAATTGTTGAATATAAGGTTAAGTATTGTTTTTTTTTTTCACGACCTTATGATTATGGGTTAGGTTAGGTTAGGTTATATATTTTGTTGCACTCGAAGAATTATTATATTTAGTTTTAGTTAAAAGATAGTCATTCAGTAAAACAGTTTAGCTTTAAAGATCTAACAGTATGGTATCATTGATTTATTTGATGAGCATATTTAGTGTGCAATTCAGTATTTTTGGTGGTAATTTCGAATATTTTGATTGAAAAAAGGGAATTTACAGTTAAAGTATCAAATACCACCCGTTTAATAACCCCTTCCCCGGTTCGGATGGTATTTCTAAAACATGCTGTATAGGTATACGGTCGAATGGAAGCAGAGCTCTCGTCGGTAGCTTATATTTTGAAACCATGTGCATATGTACTCTCCAGTTTGCTCCCCCTCTCCCCGCTTGCACGTCTGTTGGCTGCCCGTGTTTTTCGATGGGGATGGTCAGGTAAAATGTTAAGTTTTGATTGAAATACGTATTACATTCAGTCAGATAGACTGTAGCATAGTATGGTGTATATTTTATTCTAATTGAATGTTTCAAAAGTAATGGTTGGTATAAGGATTAATTAAAATAAATTAGATACTATACATAACACGCCTTTTATCCCCGAAGGGGTAGGCAGAGGTGCACATTATGCTACTGTACAATGTAACACCCACTTTTTACTATTTATGTTATGAGTCCCATGTAATAGGGAGTATTACTTTGGATAGAAACTATAATGATACTAATTACAAATTCATCATCATCAGCCTGTATTCGTCCACTGCTGGACATAGGCCTCTCCTATGGCACGCCACTGAGCTCCGTCTTCAGCTCTTCTCATCCAACCACTGCCAGCCACCTTGCAGATATCGTCACTCCACCTAGCTAGAGGGCGCCCTACACTGCGTTTGCCCAGACGCGGTCTCCACTCTAGAACACGTTTACCCCAACGGTTATCGGTTCTTCGACAAATGTGACCGGCCCACTGCCACTTCAGCTTACTGATCCTTTGGGCTATGTCGATACCTTTGGTTGACCAGTCGCACTGTCAGTGTCCACGTCTCGGCTCCGTATGTCATTACTGGAAGGAAGCACTCGTTGAAGACTTTTGTCTTCAGGCTTTGCGGTATCTGAGACGAGAAGACTTGATTAAGTTTTCTATATGCTGCCCAGCCAAGCTGTATCCTTCTACGGGCCTCCTTTTCGAAGCTGTTCCTACCAAACTGGCAAAAAACAAATTACAAATTAACTGGCAAAAAACAAACAAAATTAAACATTGTCTCATTGAGGATTTTCGCTTGTGTCATAAATACTATTACGAAACATCACATCATCCGAAACAACTATTTGTAGATTACAGAATTAATAAACCTGTAATAAACTGTATAATGTAATCTATGAGCCATTCTGCTTACCCCTTTAACGAACAAAAGGCATGATATTATATACTGACCCTTTCAAAGCTAATAGGGCGTGATAGAGGACGAATAGTGCATTGATGCGTGTATTCGAATCCCTTTCGATCTAAATATAGGATTGCAACCCTGTGGCTATTTGGAATCAATCAAGGTCTTCGTTATGTTGAAGATATTTGTTCGTTATGTCGACCGGAGTGATACCACGGCCTCACAGAAAAGTTTCGTCTTATGAGTGAGGTTACCGCAGACCCAATTACCCTCCCTCCCCAGTCTCCCCGATCCCCGAATCCCCCACAATCTACAAATTTCCAATTTCCAAAAGGCCGGTAACACACTGGTAACGCCTCTGGTGTTCCAGGTGTCCATAGACGACGCCGATTGCTTACCACCAGGTTCCGTCAGCTCGTTTACCGGCTTATTCCATAAAAAAAATAAGGTTGTGTTTTAAAAGTGTAATATGTAGTTATCATTGGACACACAGTTGGTTTTTAAATCTAATGACTACTAGAGGTACATTATTTATTGTACGACTTTAACTCTTCAGAACCTTCGACTTTCGCATTATTTTACCGTTTAAACACCCCTTCTCCGAATCGGATGGTGTTCCTAAAACATGCTGTACACGGTCGAATGGAAGCAGAGCTCTCGTCGGTAGTTATTTACCTATATATGTATATTTTGAAACCATGTGCATATGTACTCCAGTACTCTCCTGTTCACATCTTTCTGATGAAGGCAACATCAACAGCCCGAAATAGTCCATTACTACACTGTGAGCGTCATTTTTATTGCCATAATCTTATTCATATATCTTTGTAGATGATCGTGGATATCTACGTTCGGCTCAGGCTGTCAGATCACAGTTTAAAAGGTTCGCTTTATCAGAGAGCGCTGCTGCCCGGTCTCTGTGACATGTGTAGTGCCTTAGTCAGCTTTAACGACACTCTGGGGAAGGTAGGATTGGTGACAAATAGGGTAGATGCCTAATTTTTATTTTAATGTCCGTCTGGTACATTATTTTAAAACATTACACACGTATTTTTTATTTTCTTACAGAAACGAATACTTTGGACGATATATTGATTTGAAATGTCGCGTGACGTCACTTCTATGTACATTTTATACGTAGAAATGACGTTTTAGCCCCCACTCCTAAACTTTGATTCGTTTTATCTAAGTATTGTTTTATTATACGACAAAATAAATAAATTCGTGTCTAATATTTCTTCATTACTTAACTTACGGACTAATTATATTTTTTATTTTCATACCCTGTCATCATCTCAATTGTATTTTACTTTGTTACCAATACCATACGGCGTCCTGTTAGCTTCCACTTCTTCTGAACTATATGCCTTCCCTGGTTAATCATCATCATCATCACTGGATTTGTAACTCATATTCTCCTTCTCTTCTTCATCAGGCTTCATAGAAATGATGTCAGCATACGTGCCACAATTCGGTCACATTGACGCTGGGCTGGTCTGCACGTGGGTCCTGGAGCTGGAAGCTGAGCTCAACCAGCGAGATGACACGGATTCGCTTTCAAATAACGGTGAGTACTTACCGAAGGTGACATTGGAGCACCGATTATACCATTTGTTAAAAAAATGGGTGCAACTTAAATAAAATAATTCGGGCGACTATCTTTACCGCGAGTGTGGCTCATGATCATGGGCCCTGGGGTGGCTAGAAACTTTTCGAGCAACCTCGTTAAACAGTTACGTGATTTATGCCTTAAAACCAAAGTGGTCCCTAGTTTTTCAATAATTGAGGGTATAATTTTTGTTGTGATCTTTTTTTTTACTTTCGTTTTATTTAATAGTTTGCGGTTAATTGGTTATTTGTATTCTGTATCTTACATGGGTCGAAGTAAATAACATTATACTACCATTCACTACAACTAAACTAATGAAAGTAAAAAAAAGGAAACAACAAAAATTATACCCTCAATTTAGGCGTCAAAGTATTCGTCCGCATCACTCTCACAGGGGAACGTTCCCAGGAGACTGGCAGCATTGCCACGTTGAATGGCAATGCTTACTTTCTGTCCGAAGAAATAGCCAGCCCTCTGGTCACGCGTAGAGCCGATTAGCCTACGGGCGATATCTTTAAAAACAGAGTGTGCACTGGGACCCCATGGCACAAGTGTTTCGACCCCAAACGGCTCAAAACAGTAGTTACCCACTAGATTTGAATATTTACGCCGTTTGAGGCTCGCGGTTAATAGTTTATTAGTTTAGTTGTAGTTAATTTTAAGTTAGAGTATTGAATTCAATCATTAGTTGTATAAATATAATATACAATATATATATACAATAATATAATGTTTCATAAATAAATGGGAGCTTTTACTTAGAGGTACTGGATCATAATAATTCAGTAGTCGAGCCCTAGAGACAAATATATCAGAAAGACGGCACACAAATGACAATAAATCTATAGATAAATTCAGATAACTTTACTTTATAATGTGAAGAATTGCACAACTGGATTCCCTCTAGTCCTTTCCATCATCGTAGTACAAGACAATCAGCAAGGCGTCACCGATTCATGGTAGATGTCCCACCTGCACGCACGAAGCGCTTAGCATCAAGCTTCCGTGTGCGTACTACTAAGGAGTGGAATTCTTTGCCAGAGACTATATTTCCTGAAGGGTATAACCTAGGAGTCTTCAAGGCCCGAGTGAATAGGTTGCTTATAGGACGATGTGCTCCATCGTAGGCCGCATCATCGTTTACCATCAGGCGAGATAGTGGTCAAACGTCGGTCCATTAAATATAAAAAAATCTCTTGTTCCAGATGACTCTGCAAGCAGTGATAGGCTCAGCCTTACGCTGCAGAATCTCAGCGAGATGCTGCCTCCAATGACTAAGAACAGCAGGTAGCAAAAAGATTATTAACCATATGAATATGGATTTGTCATAATCACGTTCATCGCTAGCTGACCGTAAAAAAATTAGAGAATCTAACTGCGCACTACTCGTTAGATCATTACAAGTGCGTTACCGTTTTTGTTATGAGTCTCATGTAATGGGTGAGCCTATTGCCATATACCGGGCACAATTCCGGACTCCGTACTACTACTGAGAATTAAAAAAAAACCAGTAATATGTTTTTATAATAACTATCGTGAGACATACTAAGTAAAAACGCGGGTTACTCACGTGAATATACTGAGAAAAGCTCTACTAGTTTCGAACCACAGAGGGGTTCTTCCTCATGAGCAGCGTGCGCGGTCGCGGCGACGTCGCGCAGCTCACTGAACCCCTCTGTGTTGCCCGACACGGGAATCGAACCGAATCGAACCTGAGGCCCCTTACCTGGCACTCGGCCGAGGAGGCAGTGGGTGTATGTAGTATATTTCATTCCACAGCAGCCGATCTCACTCCAACTCGGAGTCGTCTGAGAGCGTGGAAGGCAACAGGCGCCCCCTGCTGGAGGAAGACGTGCACGCGGAACAGTGCAAGGCTCTCGCTGAGATGTTCCCCAATACTTGCGCCATGGAGGTAAGTCAATATTTATAGAACTAGCGACCCGCCCCGGCTTCGTACGGGTGCAATATGCATGTATTATACATATAAACCTTCCTTAAGAATCACTCTATCTATTAAGAAAAAACGGATCAGAATCCGTGGCGTACTTTTAAAGATCTAAGCATACATAGGGAAAGACAGACGGCGGATAGCGACTTTGTTTAATACTATGTAGTGATAGCCTGCATGGGAATCGGGCAGACAGATCTCCTAATGATAAGCAATCAACGTCGTCCATAGACACCCCACTAAACGCGTTACAAATGTGTTGCCGGCCTTTTAAGGCTTTTAGGAACTTGAAGATTGGGGATTCGAGATTAGGAAGATTTGGGAGGAGAGTAATGGGATCTCTGGCAACCTCACTCACGCGGCGAAACAACGTTTCAGTTATGGCACACCGGTTTTCTGTGAGGGTCAGGGGTATTCTGTGACGGTTTTCTGGTCATACCGGCCCATTCGTGCTGAAACATGGCTCTCACACAATTCTAATCATAATAATTATTTTATTAACTACGTTTCAAAAAATCGATTTATACCCCCCTTTTTTTTGAAGTCGTTGGATTAATATACTAAAACGTTCTTCTTTCTTTCTTTCTAAGTGTAACAAACACTTTTCTGAAAACTGCAATAAAATCGGTTCAACCAATCGCGAGATAATTGCGCACAAACATACACATACATGTCAAACTGAGGTCCTCCTTTTTTTCTTTTTGGAATCGGTTAATAAATATTATTAACTAGCTACTTCTGCACTGTTTCACACGCGCTGCGCAGCTCCTATTGGTTGTAGCGTGATGTTATATAGCCTATAGCCATCCTTGATAAATGCGCTATCTAATACAAAAATAATAATTCAAATCAAACTTGTAGTTATGGAAATTAGCGCGTTCAAATAAACAAACAAAAAAACAAACTCTTCCGCTTTATGTAATAATATAAGATTTCAACTCTACACTATCTCCAGATCAAGCACTGCGTCTCAATCGGTCACGGTGACGTCGAACGCGCTGCAGCTACACTCCTACACCGCCGTGAACAAGGACAGTCTCTGTCCGCCGCCGCGCTGCATTCCGCCGCGCGGACTACTCCGCTCTGTGACGACAGCGAGCTCAAGAACAGGATCATTGCTCGGTGAGTAACATTATCTCGCACCTACACGTAAGACAGTCTCTGTCCGCCGCCGCACTGCACTCCGCCGCGCGGACTACTCCGCTCTGTGACGACAGCGAGCTCAATAACAGGATCATTGCTCGGTGAGTAACATTATCTCGCACCTACACGTAAGACAGTCTCTGTCCGCCGCCGCACTGCACTCCGCCGCGCGGACTATTCCGCTCTGTGACGACAGCGAGCTCAAGAACAGGATCATTGTTCGGTGAGTAACATTAGCTCAAACTGTACCATTGCTGGGACAGTTGTGTTGGTCCGTGAGCAACATTTGCTCAAACTGTACCATTGCTGGGACAGTTGTGTTGCTCGGTGAGTAACATTAGCTCAAACTGTACCATTGTTGATACAGTCGTGTTGCTCGGTGAGTAACATTAGCTCAAACTGTACCATTGTTGATACAGTTGTGTTGCTCCGTGAGTAACATTAGCTCAAACTGTACCATTGTTGATACAGTTGTGTTGCTCGGTGAGTAACATTAGCTCAAACTGCACCATTGTTGATACAGTTGTGTTGCTCGGTGAGTAACATTAGCTCAAACTGTACCATTGTTGATACAGTTGTGTTGCTCGGTGAGTAACATTAGCTCAAACTGTACCATTGTTGATACAGTTGTGTTGCTCGGTGAGTAACATTAGCTCAAACTGTACCATTGTTGATACAGTTGTGTTGCTCGGTGAGTAAAAGCGAGCTCAATAACAGGATCATTGCTCGGTGAGTAACATTATCTCGCACCTACACGTAAGACAGTCTCTGTCCGCCGCCGCACTGCACTCCGCCGCGCGGACTATTCCGCTCTGTGACGACAGCGAGCTCAAGAACAGGATCATTGTTCGGTGAGTAACATTAGCTCAAACTGTACCATTGTTGATACAGTTGTGTTGCTCGGTGAGTAACATTAGCTCAAACTGTACCATTGTTGATACAGTTGTGTTGCTCGGTGAGTAACATTAGCTCAAACTGTACCATTGTTGATACAGTCGTGTTGCTCGGTGAGTAACATTAGCTCAAACTGTACCATTGTTGATACAGTTGTGTTGCTCGGTGAGTAACATTAGCTCAAACTGTACCATTGTTGATACAGTTGTGTTGCTCGGTGAGTAACATTAGCTCAAACTGCACCATTGTTGATACAGTTGTGTTGCTCGGTGAGTAACATCAGCCTACACTGTTCCACTGCAAAAACTGTCATTGCTCAGTGATTTGGTCTGTTCTAATTCTAAAACAGCCGTTTTATTTTTGTAAAGAAAGCATTTAAAATTAGTCGTAAAACTAATTCTATCAGTAGACCAATCAAACGCAGTCGTCTTTATTTTATACAGTTATTAATTTAATTAAAATCCCGTATCTCAATTACAGATATTCCTACGTGGACAAGAACGCGGACCAGAAGGAGCACAAGCCGCTCGCTCCTAAGATTGAGCCAAAGAAGATGGTTCGGTACAGGGACAACAAGATCGTCTCGCTCAAGGGAGAGAGGTACACTGAGGTACGTAATCTAACTAGATACAGGTTCGATGTGTGGTTGAAGCAAAATTTTTTGGACCTTAGTAACTTATTTGTAAAATAATCTGGAATTAAGTTTAAGGATAATTGTATAACTTGAGGTTAAGCGAACTTGGGTTCGATTCTCAAGTCAGTAATAGTGTTTTTTCGTGGTGGACTGATCTTGACTTTCATTCTCGGCTCAGGGACAGCTTTTATCGTCACTTTTTATAATAACTTATATAGCTGGCGAAAATTGAATCTTGATAGATATAAACTTTAATTTCAATTAATTAGTATTTTTGTTTAATTTGGTTACTGCTCACAGTTACACATTAGCACATTGATGTCCAGTTCAATGCCTGGGTGGGAATGATGGGGACCTTGTACAATGATTTAGAATTTTGCTGGCGAACAAATGCTGGCGTTCAGACTTTATGTTTTATGCTACTACACCTAACTGGCCTATTAACAGTCAGTTGACTATGAAAAACCATTACTGATATACACTGATATAAACAATATTCTCAAACACCCCCCAAGGTACCCAAGTCTGGAGTCGACGAGGAAAACTTGAAGAAGCCCAAAAAACATCACTGCCCTTAACCATTAAGAGCATGTCAGTACAGTGGACCGGCGGCACTCGCGCTCCCCCCACTTACGTCAACCCCCCTCCCCCACGCACGCTCGACACCCCTTCTTTACGTAATCCCCCTAAAAATCGTAATCGTAATCTCGATATTCGTAATCGTATACGTAGTCTCAAACGCACTTACGATGTGTTTTATAATCGTACGTAGAATTATAATTAAGATAAAATCATACTCGATTCGTAGTAGTAAAAATCAAATAACGCGAATATGTGTCAAAATTTACGTTAATCGCGTAAACGTAATTAGTGTATTTAATGTCACGTACGTTTTCGTGTGTAATCGATATGTACGTGGGAATATTAATCGTGAATGCAGTCCCGTGCAATCCGATTATTTGATTAATCGTTTGCACGTGAATCGGTTTGCGTGCACGGACGATTATACGGTGTTTACGTCGTGTATTTTATTGGTATATTTAATTAATTATTGTGATTTTGAAGTAATTCTTAATATTCACAATTTTAGTCACGAGCGTGCGTTCATGTGCGTAGATTTTAATAGTATGATTAAAAGGAAAGTGCGTGATTCTAATAAACGATACATTTTTCCGCTTAGATCCAGTACTGATTTTATAAAATTATTTAATTTTAATTGTATTACGTCACAATTTAAATTTATAGACTGTAATTTAATTATTAATTTAGTTTTTTTCGTATTTATTTTTAGTTTTAGGCTATTTATGCGGCTTTGCAGTATTAGTGTTACTATGGCATTGTTGTGGTCGTGTCGAAAAGAGAATAAGGTTTGTGAAACAAGTGTCGATGCCATAGTGTCACACGGAGCCCTAAAATGTAGCTTCGCAACAAACCAAAGAGTAAATGGCACAGTCGCAAAGCGGCATTTTAGCGGCCCGTTCGGCCATTTTGGATTTCCAATAGTTTTAAGTATAATGATCTGTTTACCTGTGATTTTGTATCGTTATTATAATTTAATTATTATTATAAATGTGATTCCTATGTTAGGTGTAAAGTTTTTACGTGAATCTGTGATTGAATCGCCATTTTTATTTAATTTTTATCCTCTAAGCGGTTTTTATAGTTGTTTTAAATTTGACAGTTGTCACTGTCAGTTGTCATTTAGTAATATGCGAAGTGAAAACTTGTGATGATATTATAATTTAGTTTAAACGGTTGTATGGTAATGATTTGTTGTGTTTTTATTGCTTCGTTCGTCTGTGCCGTGTCGCGATCTCAGAAATTGTCGAGTTGTTTTTTAAATGGCACTATGTCTAGCGCGGTGACAGATGAAGTGTCAAAACTAAACGTCATTGTTTTTTTTTTTTCAAAATTAATTGCTTAAGGTAGCTTTATGAGCTGGCATCTTTATTATCATTTATTTCTAAAATTATTAAAATTAAAAATATTCGGTTAAAAGAATTTTGTATTTTTTAGCTACTGAATTATTATTATTAGAATTTTCAGTCAATTTTCAATAATATCCAATTTATGTAACTGTTTTTCAAAATTTCTAATCTTTATACAACATATTTAAACATATTTTATCTAAGACTGCCTCTTTGGCCGAGTGGTCGTAAGTGCGACTGCCGGGCAAGGGGTCTCGGGTTCGATTCCGGGGTCGGGCAAAGTATTACTGGGTTTTTAAATATTCACAGCTACTACTGTGAATATTTAAAAACCGTGCTACTGCACGGAGTCTGGAATTGTGCCCGGGATATGACAACAGGCTCACCCCTATTACATGGGACTCAACATAAATAGTGAAAAGTGGGTGTTACATTGTACAGTGGTATAATGTGCACCTCTGCCTACTCTTTCGGGGATGAAAGGCGTGATGTTGTGTTATGTTATATTTTATCTACCGAACTTATAAAGCACGGACCATTAATAAAAAATAATAATTTCAACCGACCGTACACTGATCAATGATCAGTGATCATCAACAAAAATTAATATTTTTACCCGACTACTTAGAAAGTTGAGTAATGCTATCTTCAGTTATGTATGACGTAACAATAAATCATTACCGTTAACCAGTTAATTAATTAATTTTAAATAAGTTCTGACACAGACTGATTTGTTTAATTAAACGCATTGCTCATGGAATGAGATATTTTATGGATTGTGTTTATATGTCCAGAAGACACTATACAAGAAAAGGAATACTCCTTTTTAAAAGACCGGCAACGCACCTGTGTTTCCTCTGGTGTTGCGGGTGTCCATGGGCGGCGCTGATCGCTTACCATCAGGTGATACGACAGCTCGTTTCGCCTCCTATTCTATTAAAAAACGAGTTGTTGCAAAAGCGACTACAGAGCAAAGGGTCGCAGGTTTGATAAAAATAATACTAGAAAGTAAAGATTCCTATTTTGAAAATAGGCGTGTCGACAGGGAAAAAAAATCAAAAAGTAATGAGTCCGTCATTAAGATCGCACGAAAATATCAGACACGTATTTTTTTGTTTTATCAAATTAACAGAAGAATACGTAGTTATTCCGCATTAAAGTTAGGGAGTGGGGGGTGTTGACGTCACACTTACGGAGAAATCGTACCTATTTGTGACGTCACGCGTCATTTTAACTCAAAATATCTACATGTTTTTTTGGATACGAGAAAAAAGAAAAAATACGTATCGAAGATTTTTAAAATATCTAAAAGACGGACAAAAAATTAAAAAATAGTCGCCATGCCTATTGTCT